TCAAATCACATGATTTTATTTTAATTAATTTTAACCCAAAATTATAAAATATAATGCTAGTCGAATTATTGTAATTTACTGCCAAAAAAAATCATGTGCATGATGCACTTCTAGAACTTTTCTGTTACTTTTCTGTTACTTTTCCGCTACTTTTAAGATTCTGACTGGAGGATCTGATAGTTGGAGAATCAGAAGTACTAAGATCAGCTTATGTAATTGTCAGGAATTAGTGCTAAACTTACTTGCAATCCTACCTTCATTTGATTGCTAGGTTAAAGCACAAAGTGCTGAATTTGTAATTCATATATTTTTCTTCTTGATTGTCATCTCTTGATTATCAGATGAGACACAAAGTGCTAAATTTGCAATCCATCCATTTGCTGAAGATGTGTTGCAATCCATTCACCCACTTTTTATTGCAGATCAGGTATATACGAAGTGTCAGTGTTATGCCATTCTTACAATCCTGCCTTTTATGACCATTTTAATTGCTGAGAATGAGACACGAGGTGCTGAATTAGTTCAGGCTATATTGCTTTTATATCCTTTTTTGTGTATTCACCTAAATCTTTCTGCCTTCCTGATCTCTTTCCTGCCTATTAGTAGTAGACCACTCAAATATGATTTTTTTTTCTTTTCCTTATATAATTCTGCTTGAGTGGCCTACCATTTTTTTGCTTGTTTTTACTTCTAGACCTTCTTCCTGTATATTTTCTACTTCAGAATAGGATATGAAGTATTAGATTAGTAGTCCATTTAAGTATAACTTTTTTCTTCAAATTAGTAACTCACTCGAATATAATTTAGGTATACTCTTGCTAGTAATCAGATTGAAGACTAGCTTTATACATTTTTTTATTTTATTTTTGAGTCATATATAGTACATTTTATTTTAAACTTGAGATTTTGTTAGTGTACATATACTGAAAACTTTCTATTTATCTATACTTAAAGTTTGCTTTTACCATACTACTTGCGCAAAAAAAATGCTAAGCCTCGCCTACTTGTTTATTCTAAACTGCTTGAATTAATTTTTAATAATCTCAAGATTAAAGATATACTATATTTCTGTCTTACTGTAAATCATCAATGGAATTTTGAAGCATTTCGAGTTATTTTAAAGCAAAAAGAAAGGAAACTTCATAAAGATCTTGATTTTATAAAATATCAGTTAGATTAGAGTAAACAAGAAATAACTTGTATTCATACAGTTCTTTATACTCTGTATTATGATTGAATTACAGCAGGAGAAGAAATTGCAAATGTTCATGCAGTAATCAAATCCCATATAAATAATCTTACAAGAATTCTCCCTGTCTTATTAAGTCTTCTGTTTTACGAAATAAATTTCATGTACAATGGCAAAATCTTTATAAACAGATGAAAAAATTGTTAAAAGATATCGATCTACTTGATGATATCAATAATACATAAAAAGAGCGAATATATAGACAAAATTGTTGAGCTGTATTATTAAGTACTCTTAGCTGAAATTGCTACTTCCTGCTAAGAATATTGATAATACTTATTTTTTACTTATGCAATAGTAGTAACCAAGTTTAATTTTACTTTTCTGGATTTGCATATATCCAGATTGATTTTTCCGATCAAATTAGTCTAAAGCTGGTGATCACTATCACAAATTTCTATGTGATATTTTATTACACTTATAAAATGCAAGACAAAATTGATACTAAAGCTTTAACATATGCTATATTCGTTCTTTAGGGCAATTAAAGTTAATAGATGAAAATAGATTGCTATGTAACCAGTTAGTATCAAAGAAAAATACTTCATCCCAAATAATTTTAAGGGAGAGGATTCCTTTAGAATCAGGTGATGCAGAAGCAGTACCCTAAGAAATGCCTCTAATACCAGCGACTGTTCCTATTGTTACAAGTTTTCTATTGATGCCGATGGTAATATATTTCATACTTGTTTTATTACTGATTGTGATCATATAGTTCATAGTCAAGAAATAGTGAAATTTGCGAAAAAAAGTAACCAATATTCTGCCTACAAAAAAAATCTTCTGAATTATACAATACTCTTAAATAAAGATCAGAATTATGGATTTCCGATCTGATACAGAGAAGAACTAAAAGACAGGACTACTTCCTATGAAACTTTACCTTATGGATATGAATGAGACTACAAAGCACGAATCATCCTGAAATATTAGGCATCCAGCAATGTTATGGCTATTTACTATGCTAGTCACAGGGAGAAATAGTACAGGTAAGACTAATTTACTTGCGAACCTTATACTTGGAGATAAAAGTGAACATATATACAAAAGACAAAAGGAGTCCAGATATATTAGGTGCGATGATTTGATAGTTTGTAATTACCATCCTGATGAGTCAAAATGGGCATTCGTCAAATATATGTATGAAATAATTGTGAAGGATCCCAGAGCGCCATATTATGAAAATATTTAGTTCAGCTATATTTTTTCTGAAAGGATTCTAAATGTAAAATTATTCTCACCAGAAAGGGGTACTGTTATTATTTTTAAGGACTTGTGTGTCGCCCTGGAGTATATACAAAATTGAATTATTCCCTTCTTTATTTATGGGTGACATAGAAACATTTCACCTATTTACATAACTCAACACTATCATAAAGTCCCTATTATTATTCATGAAAATATATCCCATCTGGTGATGTTTAACTCTGGTAGCTCATATGAAGATATCTTAAAAATTATTAAACATTATACTGATAATGTAAAAGATATATCAATGGTTATTAACAGCTATTTACAGAAGGGAGAATTTGTTGTATTTGACTTAGATAAACCTGAAGATGATCCTCTAGCAATTAGATTAAAATTTGATACTCCATTAGATTTGTATAAAGAGATTCAGTTACAACAAAAAATAATGAAAAAGCTATCATTAAATGATGCATGTATGATTGCTAAAGAACATAATGGGATATGTCTTTCAACTGAATATAAAGATAACAGAACTCCATTAATGTAGCATTATTCTAAGAACCATGTATAGAATACCCCACTTTCTAGAATTAAAAATTTAGGACAATGGTGTCCGTAATGTGCAGGTAATATGAAACTTACTCTTGAGATTGTTAAACAAATTGCACTATTGAGACATGAAGAATGTCTATCAGAAAGGTATGTTAATCAATGATTACCATTACTATAGCATTGCACTAAAGGTCATTTATAGAATGCATCTCTTAATAATGTAAAAAATCATGGTAAATGGTATCCATATTATGCAGGAAATGCCTGTCTTACTCTTGAGGATTCTAGGCAAATTGCACTTAGCCGAAATGGTAAATGTCTTTTAACTGTATATAGTAATTCTAAAACTCCGATGACATGAAAATGCTATCAAGATCATATTTAGAATAGTTTGTTTAATCACATTAAAAATTCTGGTTCATGGTGTCCATATTGTGCAGACATTGCAAAACTAATCCTTGAGAACGCAAAGCAAATTACACTATCTAGGAGCGGGAAGTATCTTTTGACTGAGTATAAAAATATAGATGAATTGCTTATATGGTGTTGTCAATTTAACCATCAATGGCAAAATACACTTTATCACATTAAAAATAGAGAGCAATGGTGTTCATTTTGCATTGGTCGTTATCAAACAATTGAGGATATGTGTAAACTTGCACAAGTAAAAAATGGAGATTGCCTTTCAGATCAATACTATAACTCACGTGCTAAGCTAGAATAGATTTGTGAGGATAAACATAAATGGGAAGCTGTTCCCAATAGTATTCAACAAGGAAGTTGGTACCCATATTGTGCAGGTAGTATGAAATTAACTCTTGAGGATGCGAAGCAAATTGCATTAACTAGGTATAGGCAATGCCTTTCAACCAAGTATAAAAATAATCAATTGCCACTATTATGGTGTTACAAAGAAGGCTATTTATGGTAAACATCTGTGATACCTGGTGTCCATTTTGTTATAAATATAAATGCGAATAATTATGTCGAGAAATTGTGTCAAAGTATCTTGGACCGCCATCTAAGATACGTCGACCTGATTTTCTTAAAGCTTTAGATTACCCAACTGGATTAGAACTTGACATTTATTACCTGCAATATGGATTTGCAACTGAAGTACAAGGAGAACAATACGAAAAATATATAGAATTCTTTCATAGAGGCAATCCTAATAATTTTATCAAACAGCAAGAGCAGAATCAACTTAAGAAAGAATTATGTGAAGAGAACTGGATTGCACTAAGGTATGTTTAGTATTACGAAGACCCATATGTAGTTATTCCAGAGCAACTTCGTGAATTGGGTCTTATTGAGTAAACTTAAAACTTTAATTTCATTTGTGCAATTCACTTATTTTTTTAACTTAATCTAAGTAAGACGGGGATGATCCTTTTGTAATTCAGTTAAGATTTAATACACCATTGAACCTGCAGAAAAACAAATTCAAAATTTACCAAGAAACTTTTATTATTTAATGCATGTAAGTCAAAAGATTATATGTATATATAGTAAATAAAAAAAAATTACATGTGAATCATTTTTGCTAAGAAAAAAATTTGAGATTAATTACGTATATTTTTTACTACTTTCTGATATAACTAACAAATAACTTTATTATTATTATTTAACACATGCTATAACTCTGACTAGATAATATGAGATTTTATATTAATTTCAGGGAGAAGATAATTCAAAATATCTTTTAATTATCTTTTGGAATCAAAATGTCCATACTACATCAAACAGTTCCTGTGACAGTTTCGTGTCTTATTCACAAGTTCATTAAATTTTGGTATACTGAGGGTATTACGTTTGAAGATTGCCTTTGGTGATGGTGAGCTTGGATTATAAAGTTTACTGTATAAAGTATCAAATAACTTGCAAAAAATCTCTCGCACTTTTAAAAGAGTTTCTACTTTATTGACAAATAAATTCATTTCTTTGATAGAAGAAGGAATGTACACTTGGCCGATATGGGTCATCATATATATTTCATGGATGAGATCCATCACATAGAAATCCATCTTGTATTCTATATAGATGAAAAGTTTTAAAATTAATGATAGGGAAGAAGCAAAATTAAAAAATATTAAAATTTACCCTACTGATATATTGAAAACCTAAGACCTTCAAGTCCGCACCCTTTCCTATGCCTATATCTAAACAATCTTTCATGAAAATGCCAATGCGAATTAGATCCTTACAATTTTTGTATATATTGTTCTTTTCCGAAAGTGGGCTTATTTCGCCAACAAATATGACACCGCATATCTGTAATTGATGAATCACAGATACTACGAAGTCTGGTTGTTTAGCTCTTCCTTCTAACTTTCTTGCCTTGCTTTTATTAAAACCCATATTGGACCATTTGATAATGTGCCTGTTTGGATCATGCAACATCCTCCTCATTATACGATCTAAGTAGTTTGTTACCAATGTCATTTCACTAAGATCATTTTTGATTTTTGTAAAAGGTAATGTCCTTAAACAGTCCAAAATTATAAAGCCCATATTATCCTTTAAATGTTTATTGTTGGAAAGTTCAGCCATCAACCAATCCGTAACATGAATAAACGATTCTTTTGTTACTCACTTTATTGTGTTCCTGAACTTTGCTTCACACTCTGCATCCAATGCAGTTTGCTGTGTCAGAATAATTCGTTGGTGAATCATATCTAATAGTGGAGAACCAAATATATCGATCATCTTTCTTTGAGTAAGAATCAGAGATAAGTAAGAAAATCAATGAAAGTGAAAGTATCTTATGGATATTTGACTCGACAAATAAACCTTCTGCTTTTGAAATATTTATAGAATTATTCTGATACTTTTGGAACAAATGAGATACATTGATTTCTTCTATCTTATAATCATCAGCTAGGTCTCTGCCTATAAAGCACAGATCATCAACATCATCTATTACCAAGATGTCATCTACCTCATCTTTCCCTATAAATAGATTGTTGATACGATCGACTAGCATTAGAGGCTCTACCAGTGAACAGTTTAATGCTAGGCTATGTGATGATAGTGTAGTATAACCGCTGTTAATGAATTCTGATTGTTGTGATAGTGGTATAGTATGACTTGTGTCTGGGTAATGTACTCTTTCTTTTCCACTTACAGACTTTTTCTTTTTTTTCCTATTACTTTCATCACCTTCTAACACATGTTTAGTGTTTTTATTGCATTATTAGTTACCACAGTATGTATTTGATGTGTTTCATTGTTGGTATCATTCAACACGTTTGGTATAGTCCAACTATTTCATATAATCAGTCAGTTTTTTGATAAAATGTATAAAACTTCATGGATGATATAGTTTAACAAACCTGTATATTCTCAATTTCATGTTTAAAGCATTCCTTATCAATTAATAACCAGAAATTTTTTACAATTTCGGAGGATTTCTCATCCTTTTTATAGAAAAAAAAACAGACATTAGTAAAAGAATTAAATACCATTTTTTGAACCACTCTTCATAGGATCTACTAATAACAAAGCAACTTCCAAATAAAGATCACTATTAATTTGCTTGATCTTGAAATGGTTTTTAATATTATTTATCCATTTGCCTGGATAAATATAAAAAAAGACAAGATTAAGGAAAACTATAACATGGGACAAAGGCTAACAACCAATGAGACGAAGGCATCTGGTTGCGTTATGGTAGACGAAAACTAACAACTAATGGGACGAAAGCATCTGATTATAACAGTCTATTCAAGGACACCTGAGGGAAGACGAAGTTTACTTTCACCAGTCAAGACGAGGGTAACTAGATATTCAGGTTTGTTAACATGTCATATTGTTTTAGGACTAGAACATATTCTAGCCCTTGAACCCACCTTAACTCAATTTATAAACATATTCTGCAAATAAATTATACTTATTTCAAAATTGAGAAGACTTGTTTCAGCTTGATCACCAGAAAGTGCTTTCAAAGCCAACCTGTATAACCTATATTCCTGTCTTTTAGAGTACTTAAAATCTTCAACCTCTTTTCTGTATTGAAGAAACATGATTAGCAACTAAGTCATAGTAGTCTTGAAGAACCCTTCGATTACTACTGTTATTTGTGATTCAGTTAGTTCACTTAACATTTCTTCTGTTGAGTAGACTGCAAACATGTTTTGTACTGTATTTATAAATTGGTGAGTTGATTACGTAATCAACACGTAGTGATAATTACTACGATTTTTATTATTAGTTAGAACAATTCAGGGATGATGATTTTCTGTGATTCACAGAACGCCACAGAATTTTCTTTAATTGCATCTAATTACATTATTAGTGTTAGTCACTGCATAATTTCATAGAATTTAATATTTTCAAAATTTTTATAATTTAGATCACAGAATCACGTGAGATTCTTAAGATCGAATTTTGATCATTAAACTTCGATAATCGAAGTTCGCGTTTTTGAGAATGCAATCAAATGTACTAATTTTGTCAAAATTTCTAGTTGCAGTGTAGAGCGTAATTTCTCTATGTATAATGACCTTTTAATTAGTTATTGGCAAAATCTTTTGTGCAAATTATTAAAAAAATTAAATATGTAATATTTTAATAAAGTAATTAATTTTAAAGCAAATTTTTTATATTTTTTTAAATACATAAAAACACTGAATTGATTTTAACCACCACAGAATTACACAGAATGTACGAAAAATGATACCATATCACATCACAGAATTTTATTTAACCACACACAGAATTTGGTTTTTATCACTGCAGAAAATCATCGTCCCTGAGACGATTACATCGTCGTGCTGGCAGTTTGTAAACACATATGTTTAAAAAATTCGTTCCTTTATTATATTTTTTTATAAAGTAATACATGTGAAAAGGCTAATCGGCTAATAAAAAATGTATCAATGATCATTAATAGCTATCTCTGCAAAAAGGATGAATTTATTGTATTGATCTTACTAGGCCAGAAGATGATTCCCTTGCAATTCGCCTAAGGTTTGACACTCCACTAAGTCTGCAGAAGGAAATAGAAGTGAGGCAGAAGTGCAAAAGACAAGTCATTACATATTGAATGACTATATATATTGGATGTGGCTTAGAATCATGCAGATAACTACTGTGGAATGATTTTAGCTAAAGTCACGTGAAAGCATCATATCTATTCTAAAGGAAATACTGCGCTATTATCATATCAAATAGTATATTTTACTAGTAAATCTGAAAAAAAATACCAAGTCAATACTGTGACATTACCGCAAAATTGCGTAATACTATTTCTAGTAATATTTATGCTTTATATTCAAAAGTAACAAATTATGTGACATCTTAACCAATAGTCAGCAACTTTTGTCAAGAAAAGTTTTATTATCTAATGCACATTCCTCACATGAAAAAATATAGATGAATATGTAAAATAATAATAATTAACCACCAGGGTCACTTTATTGATACAGAAAAAATAATAAT